TTTTTAGTATAGGGTCTACAGGGTCTTACTATGTAGATTAGACTTGTAGTGATTCTCCTGTTTTCAGCCTCCCAAGCACTGGGATTATAGGTGCGTGCCATCATGCCCAGTCTCAATCACTGTCTCAGTGTGTCCTGGGGGCGAGGCTGGCACAGCACGCTGGGGATAGAACCCCAGCTGCTGCACTCTGCCTAAGTAAGCGCTTTAGTCCACTGAGCTATCTGGCTGGCCCTGTCACCTGCAATTTAATAGGGGGTTATTTGGCTCATGGATTCAGTCCTTGGTTGGCTGCTCCATGCAGAAACAGCATGGTGGAAAGGGATGACAGAGGAAAGCTCCTTGGCCCATAGCAGGGGAAATTAGGCAAGGCAGAAGTCAGGACAAAAGTACTCCCTTCCAGCTTAGATGACTCACTTCCTCTCATCCAGGCCCCACCAACTTGCCAAGGGATTACTGTACCAATGAGAATTGAACACTCATAATCATCACCTTTCAAAAGCCCTACCAGTGAATGTGTGAGACTTTGAGGAGAACATTTTAGATTTAAAGAATATATTGAGGGGCCGGGGAAATGGCTTGGTAGAATAAGCGCTTGCCTGACAAGCACAAGGGCCTGAGTTCAAAACCCTGGTTCCAAAAAAAAAGAATATATTGAGAGATGATTTCTGGGGACAGAAGAGACTCAATATTTGGCAGGTAGATTTTTAGCATGGTGTTCCCACTCGCAAGTGTTCATGGGATTGCCTAGTCCCAGAAATTTTCATTATGGATTGGAGAGGAAGGAAGAAGCTTTTGATCCTTTAATACTCTTAACTAACTTTGTGTTCAGTTGAAAAGTTATCTCTTGTGCCAAATTTTTAATTTTTAGGTCTTCTAAAAATTCTTTGTTCTTTGTTTTCTATGTGTCTGCTTTCAATAATTTTGTTACAGTATTCTATTAATGGGATATAAGGAAGGAGTACAGATAAATGTATAAAAGCTGCTTGTTGCATTTTCCTTTTTTTTTTTTTTTGTGGCAGCTCAGCCTGCCCTAGGGTTGGGGTTGCCTCAGCATGTGGTGCTGGGGATCAAGCTGCAGACATTTTAGACCACTGAGCTATCTCACCAGCCCCTCCTACTTTACTTTGTTCATACATTCTATGTATAGAATGGATAATTGGCAAGAAGATGTTTTTAAATTTGTTTAATCATTCCATTTTGAAGAGTTATATTTCAGATGTGTGTGATTGTAAGTGACATGAAGTAGTCTACAATAAACTTTTTTTTAACATAGTGGAATATAATACTGAAATCTTGTTTTCTTCTCTTTTCTGTCTTGGAATATAGCATGCAACCATCCAGAAGTGGCCGAGTTCACGATGTAAGATGTCGGCATTGGTGACTTACAGGTAACTTTATTATGATGTAGTGCTTTTCTTTAAAAGTTTATCCTTGATGTACTTGATTCAGTGATCAAGTATTAGGTATCATTTAGCCTCGTATTCCAATCCTGTGTTTTGTGTTATTATGAAAATCATTTCTAGAGGTGAAGGCTCAGCCAACATAAGCACCTGCCTGGCAAGCACAAAGTTCCAAGTTTGATCCCAGTACCAAAAAAAAAAAAAAAAAAAGATATCTAAGAACAGGGCCAGAGAGAGATAGCCCAGTGGACTGAGTACCTGCTTAGGCAAGCACAAGGACCAGGGTTCAATCCCCAGTACCACATGCTGTGCCAGCCCCGCCCCTGGGCCCAATGAACCAGCCACTGAGACCAAAACAGGAGGATCATTACAAGTCTGAGCTACATAGTGAGACCCTGTACCAAATAAAAAGAAGGAGAAAAGAAGAAGGACAAGGAGGAGAAAAGGAGGAGGAGGAGATCATTTCTAGAGAAACTATGACACTAGTTTTCCTCATTTGTAAAATGAAGTGAGAGTGCAAGATTGAGGATGAAATGAAATACTGGGGGTATAGAGTGTCTGACATGGAATGTAGTTAATTACACAGTAGCTCCTACTATTAGCTGCATAATTCTTCTGTCTTGGTGAGGAACTGACCTGGTGGGGAAAATTTTGAAAGTTCTTTTTCTGTTCTTGAATTTTGAATTAACCTCTTTTTACTGTTTTAGGTCCTTCAAGGCATTTTTCCCACTCCTTGACAACTTCTCTCAACCAGTGGCTCAGCTCTGGGCACTGTGGGCTGTGTATCATGTCTGCAGTAGAAACCGTATGTGCTTAATGTATATTCAAAATAGTGATTTTCCAGCTATCTTTTGAATAATGAATGATTTCAAAATGGATTTTCAAAAATTGCTTATGATCATGACTGATCCTCCAAATATCACTGTCTTTAAACTATTGGCGAATTTAGCTCTTTTTAAAAAGAAAATTAACATTATGTCATTAGTTTTAAAAATGCTGTAAAAATTAGTATTTTATTTGGATGTGGATGTCTAGCAATATAGAAAATAAACACTAGTTTTCACCAGGCAAATAGCATTAATTTGCTAACTATCCCGTTACTTTTGGATTCATGATGCATTTAGTATATGCTATTTATAAACTTCATATGAAATTACATAACTGATTTTATGCTAGAAAACTCAAAAAACAGTTTTGAGAATTAGAGCCTTATTTAGCATATTAACTACATCAACTATATGTTGACTATATATAAAGTATAAAATCCCAATGGATGGTTTTTGTTTTTTTGATCAGGGTCTCACTATAGTGAATCCAGGCTGGCTCTAAATTCACAGTGTAGCCCAGGCTGTCTTCAAACTCAGCCTCCTGCTTCAGCTTCCAAGTGCTGCGATTACAGATGTATATCACCACCTAGCCCCACTTGTTTTTTAATATCAGCAAAAATCTGAAAATTAAGGGAAAAGATATAATTCTCATTATCAACAAAAGTGATTTTAGCGGCTGGTGAGATGGCTCAGTGGTCTAAAGCACCTACTTAGAAGCAGGCTTGGCAAAGCACAGGGACCGCGGTTCAATCCCCCAGCACCACATGCCAGCCAGCCCCCACCCCCTGGTGGGCTGAGCTGGACACACACACATAAATAAAATTAAAAAAAAAAAAAATGATTTTAACAAGTAATAAGAAATTGAGCATGGTTTGAAGGCTGAGGCATAATGACAAGCTTAAGGCCAGCCTAGGTGACTTAGTGAGATGCTGTTCTAACATGAAGTACAAAGAGATAGGGGTATGATTTTTTTTTGGGGGGGAACCGGGGATTGAACTCAGGCCTCGTGCTTGCCAGGGAAGCGCTTATTCTACTGAGCCATCTCCCCGGCCCGAGATAGGGGTATGGCTCTGGGGTACAGTGCTTGTCTACCAAGCAGAGCTCAGGGTCAATCCCTAGATCATTAAAAATACTAAGACCCATATAGGAGTTGATAAAAGATAACTTATACTTATGAGATAGACATTCCATGCACCAAAGATGGAAAGACTTACTAAGATATGACATCCATTTTTCAGTTTTATGAATATAGTACAATTCAAGTGAATGAGTTAGCGATATGTGGGATTGAAAAGTATTCTAAAGTTTATCTCACAGGGCTGGGGATATAGCTTAGTGGTAGCCCTTACCTAGCATGCACAAAGCCCTGGATTTAATTCCCAGTGCCACCAGAAAAGAAAAGTTCATCTCAGAATAGACAGGAGAAAAACTTAACAAAGAAAAATGGCTTTTAGGAGTTGGCACTAGCACTTCTGTTAACATGATAAAAATGTACTGGGACCAGCACAGAATGCAGTGTGTTGGAAAGACTCTAAAACAGACTAGTTTTCCTCTCCTCTTGCTCCCTTTCCTTCTTTTTCTTTTTTCCCCCCTGTGGTGCAGGAAATTGAGTGCATCTGGGTGAGTGTGCTACCCTTGAGCGTCTCAGCCCTAGAATTTTACATTATAACTGTGTAAACTGGAACTTAGTTGTGTATTTACTGAGTACCAGGCATTACTGGAAGGACTTGAGTAGGTCATTTTGAAAGGGGTCCCCATCATCACTGCGATTCACATTTCACCGATGAGAAAGCGTGAAGCACAGGGAAGTAAACTAGCCCACAATGAACATGCTAGCCACTGCCAGAGACAAGGCTCTGACCCAGTAAGCTACAGTTAACACTGTTTATTGCTCAGGGATTTTTCAATATATAAATAGATCAATTTATGAAATGTCTTAGACATCATTTCCAGTCTTATTCCTATTACAAACACTGTTTTAAACAAAAAATTACACACATATAAATAGAAAAAGAAAGACACATGTGTACAGTAGTGTGATAATGAAGCTACCTTACCCCAAAACCAGAAAACCTGTGCTATACTCCCAGTTTTTGTCATTTACTAATTGTCTACTTGAGCGATGATTTTAACCTCTTTGTGCTTCCATTTCCTCAGCTATAAAATGGAGATAGCAGTACTTCATGCAGGTTTTATGACAAATAGGTTAATACTTGTAAAGAATTTAGAACAGTGCTAGTATAATATATTTATATGTAGCATATTATCAGTAGCATGGTGCATAGCTACCATACATGATGAGCAATCTCATTTTGCAATCATGTGAGTTAATCTTCAGAATCCTTGGGAAGTTCCTGAGTATAAGTTATAAACGTTTGTAATTTAGATAGAAATTGTTAAATTGTCCTCCAGGAAGTTGATTCCTGTTGATGAGACATAAGACCACCCCCATCCCCTCCCCCACCCCCATCGCCCTGTTCTGGGGCTCAAACCCAGCATTTTTATGCATGCTATGCAAGCACTCTACCACTGAGCTGTAACTCAGCTTTTTAAAATTATGAGACAAGGTAACTCACTAAGGTGCCATGGCTGCTGATGTTCCTGCTTTAGCCTCCCTAGTAGCTGGGATTACAGATACACATCAGAGTTTGGGATGTGTTCTTAAATAACAAAATCTCTTGAACTAAAATATTATGTAAGTCCCTCCCTCCACTCTTACTATTTTTTTTTTAATCTTATTTGTGTGTGTGTGTGTGTGTGTGTGTGGCCAGTTCAGCCCACCAGGGGGCGGGGCTGGCTGGCATGTGGTGCTGGGGGATT